TGTATTATTAGGGATAATGTAAGACCTACTGTAAATGCTAAGGATATTAGAAGTCACTGAAGGGTTCTGTGACTATATAAAAACACAAGGCTGCAGACGGAGTTATTCAGGGAACTCTTGAGTATTAATAATGTAGTATTAGGGATAATGTAACCCCTTCTTTAAATCATAAGGATATTAGAAGTCACTGAAGGGTTCTGTAACTATGTAAAGGCACAAGGCTGCAGACGGAGTTATTCAGGAAACTCTGAGTATCACTCATGTTGTATAAGGGATTATTTACCCCTACCCTCTTTCGGTAAATGATAAGGATATTAGTAGTCACTGAGGGGTTCTGTCACCATATAAAGGCGCAAAGTTGCAGTCTGAGTTATACAGGGAACGCTGAGCATCACAAATGTATTATATGGGATAATGTACCTCCTACTTTAATAAGGATGTTGGATGTCACCTAGGGGCTCTGTGACCATAAAAAGGCACAAAGCTGCAGGCTGAGTTGTACACTAGACTCTTAAGTATCAAAATAGTAACAATTGAATTGTTACAAAGTGGGATAAACTAATGTACCCCCTACTTTAAATCACAAGGAAATTAGATGGCGCTCAGGGGTTCTGTGACCATATAAAGGCTCAAGTCTGCAGGCTGAATTATACAGGGAACTCTGAGATTCACTCATGTAGTTAAAATGGATAATGTGCCCCCGCTGTAAATTATAAGGACATTAGAAGTCACTCAGGGGTTCTGCGGCCATGTAAAAGCAGAAAGTTGATGGCTGAATTATACAGGGAATGGCCCATGATCATTCATTACAAATCAAGGGATAATGTACCCCCTATTGTAAATGATAAGGTTATAAGATGTCACTGAGGGGTTCTGTGACAATATATAGACACAGGGCTACAGGCTGAGTTATACATTGAATTGTAAACATTGCTCATGTATGATATGGTATATTGTACCCCCAAATGTCATTGATAAGGATTTTAGATGTCACTTATATGATCATATAAAGGCATAAGTCTGCAGACTGTGTTATACAGAGAACTATGAGTATCATGTATGTGTTTATATTATAATCCCACTGCAAATTTTAAGGATAATAGGGGTCTCTGAGGGTCTCTGTGACCATATAAAGGCACACGGCTGCTGGCTGAGTTATACAGAGATCTCTGTGTTACCCAAGTATTATATGGTATAATGTACCCCCACTGTAAATGATAAGGGTGTTAGAAATCTCTAAGGGGTACTGTGACCATTTTAAGGCGCAAGGCTGCAGATTAAGTTATACAGGGGGCTCTGAGAATCACTCATGTATTTTTCAGGATAATATACCCCTTACGGTTATAAGGATATTAAAAGTCACTGAGGGGTTTGGGACCATATAAAGGCACATGGCTGCAGGCTGAGTTAGTCTGTTGACTATCATTCATGTATTATAAGGGATACTGTAACCCCCACTGTAAATGTACATGTGGCCATGTAAAGGTGCAAAGCTACAGGCTTACAGGGGACACTCACTAATTGATTATAAGCGATACTGTACCCCCTAAATGATAAGGGCATTAGATGTAACAGAGGAGTTCTATGACCATAAAAGAGACAAGACTGCAGACCAAGTTATGCAGTGGACCCTGAGTATCACACAGGTATTATAATGGATTGTGTGCCCCCTACCGTAAATCATAAGGATATTCGCTTTCACTGAGGGGCTCTGTGACCATAAAAATTCATGAGCTGCAGGTTGAGTTATTCAGGGAATGCTGAGCATCACTCATATACTATGAGACAATGTACCCCCTACTTTAAATAATAATTAAATCAGATGTCACTGAGGGGTTCTGTGACCATATAAAGGCACAACGCTGCAGGCTGAGTTATAAAGAGATCTCTGTTTCACCCAAGTATTATATGGTATAATGTACCCCGCACTGTAAATTATAAGGATGTTAGAAATCTGTGACCACTTCAAGGCAATAGACTGCAGACTGAGTTGTACAGGGAACGCTTGACAATCACTCACCTAATTTACAGGAAAAATGTACCCCCTACTATAAATGATACGGATATTAGATGTCATTGAGAGGTTATGTGACTGTATAAATGCACAAGGTTATACAGAGAACTACTATTCATGTATTATAAGGGATATTGTACCCCCACTGTAAATTATAAGGATATTATAAGTCACTGAGGGGTTCTCTGACTATAAAAAAAGCTACAAGTTGAAGTTTTAGTTATGCAGGGAACTCTTGGTGTCACTTAATGTTTAGGATAATTTCCCCCCTACTGTAAATAAGGATATTAGAATTCACTAAGGCGATCTGTGACCATTTAAAGGAGACCGGCTGCAAGTTGAGTTACCGTATACTGAGTGTCACTTACATAAAAGGGATAAGGTACCTCCAACTGATAAGGATAGTAGATGTCACTGTGGGGTTCTGTGGCCATATAAAGACATAAGTTGCAGGCTGTGATTTATACGGGGAACTCTTTGTATCTCTCATATATTTTAAGGTATAGTATTGCCCCAATATAAATTATAGGGATAATATGTGTCACTGAGGGGTTCCCATACCATATAAAGGCACATGGCTGCAGATTGAGTTATAAAGGGAACTCCGTTTATCACGCAAGAATTTAAGGCATAATGTACCCCTGTTCTGTTCTGTGACCAGAAGGCACAACGCTGAGTTAGTCACTCATAGATTACAAGTGATGCTTTACCCCTACTGTAAATTGTAGGGATATTAGAAGTTACTCAGGAGTTAAGAGACCAAATAAAGACACAAGGCTGTAGGCTGAATTAAGGAACTATCACTCATGAATTATAAAGGATATTATACCCCCACTGTACATTATAAGGATATTCAAAGTCACTGAGGGGTTCTCTGAAATGATAAATGCACAGGGTTACAGAGTTATTCTAGGACCACTGTGTGTCACTCATGTATTATAAGTGATCATATCCCCCCCCCCTACTTTAAATTATAAGGACTGTGGGGTTCTGTGACCATATAAAGGCACAATGCTGCAGGCTGAGTTATACAGAGGACACTTGAGTATCAATGCTATATTATAAGGGAAAATGCCCACCCGCAAGTGAACACTGTGTATCATTCACATATTATAAGGGGTAATGTTCCCCCTATCGTACATTAAAGGATATTAGAAGTCACTGACGGTTTGTGACCATGTAAAGGCACAAGGCTACAGACTGATATATGAAGAATACTATCACTCATTGATTATAAGTGATACTGTACTTCCTACTTTAAATGATAAGCATTTTATAATGAATTCTGTGACCATTGCTGGGGACTAATTTATATAGTGGACTTTGACTATCAGTCATGTGTGTTAAGGGATATTGTACCCTACTGTAAATTGTAAGGTTCTGTGACTATATAAAGGCACAATTTGAAGGCTTAGTTATTCAGGGAATTCTGGGTATCACTCACTTTTTGTAAGGGATTATACCCCTTACTGTAAATGATAAGGATATTAGAGGTCAGGGGGTCTGTGACCATATATAGGCGCATGGCTGCGGGCTGTGTTATACAGGGGACTTTGAGTATCACTTTTGTAGTATAGGCGATAATGTAACCCCTCTCTTAAGCCATAATCACTTATCATATGCCATATACAGTATAAGGGATAAGGTACCCACTACTGTTAATGATGAGGATAGTATATTTCACTATGGGGTTTTCTGGCCATATAAAGACATAAGTTACAGGATGTGATATATATGGACAACTCTTTGTATCTCATATATTTTAAGGGATAATATTGCCCCACTGTAAATTGTAAGGATATTAGATGTCATTAAGGGCTCTCTAACCTTATAAAGGCACAAGACTGTTATACAGGGGACTCTGAGAATCACTCATGTATTTTACAGGATAATGTACCCCCTACTGTAAATGATTAGGATAATCGATGTCACGGAGGGGTATGTGACCATATAAAAGCACAAAGCTGCAGGCTGCAAGGCTTTTTTTAATTTTTATCATTTTCCCTTTTTTCCCCCTTAAACTGTTGATTTCATATCGTGACTTTTGCCTTGAGTATTCTGATCACGCTATCGGATCAGTTCTTTTATTGATTTGCCTAATTCTATTTGATTTTTTTTATGATTTTATTGCAGTTTTTTTCTTACATTGCTTTTTTGCAGTTTCCCAGTTTGGAGTAGAAATACATATTCACCCATTCTGGAGTCATCGTAATGTGTAGTTTACTAAATTATATGGTTTTCAGGGGTCACCCTAATTGTAGCTTTTATTCCACATAAAACTGCCAGTGTTTATACATGAGTGTAAGTGTAAGCCATCAAATAAGTATGCACAAGGTAGATTTTGTGTCTTTACATG